CCTCCCAGAGTACCGTTGTTTGTGTTGCAAACTGTTGTCCTTCCTGACAACCTCGGGCTCTTTGTGCATTATGGATCAGCTCTGCTCTGCCCCTTTGGTCCTGGAGTGATTCCCCGAGCAGATTTCCTGCTGAGAGGGAACCGAGCATGCCATGAGAAATTCATAAGGAGAGACGGGAGTGGCTTTGTTTTATCTGTGTGGCTGAACGCAGGATATGTGCTGCTGGTGGACTGGAGATTTTCTGTTGAAAGGCTCAAAATTCAACATTTACCAAATGTTCCTTTATACAGAACAGAGGGCTGCAGGTACAGAGACTGCTTGCACTGTCAGGGATGTGCTCGTTGAACGCAAAAGCCTTCATCTCACCCCTCTGCAAGCTGTTTGAGGCTTCCACGCCTGTGTGCTGGCGCTCATCTCCTCCTTCGTGTCTTCCTGTCACTGCCGCCCTCCTTGGTCTTTGTTCCTAATGGGACCCCGAGGCTTTGCTAACCCACTTCTGGCAGCACGAGTACAGCAGGCGGAAAGCCCTGGCTGTGATCAGTCCCTCTGCCTTTGAAGCAGTGTCTGCAGTTCCCTCATTGTGTATTATTTTCCCGTTGTCTTTCCCCTTTCACGCCCTGTGAATCCTCTGCCAGTGGTGTGATTTTAAGAAGTCTTTTCTGATTGAGTCCTTTCAGGTCTTTGCATCTTGTGATGCTTTTTCCACTCTGCTGCCCTTCAGATCCTCCTCCCTTGCTGGGTGTCTGGCTTCAAGCAGACATTTCAAACACATGAATTAATTTTTGCTCTCGTGATTTTCATCTCCTAAAAATTTATCCTTACTTTGAAGTCCAGAGAGGCTGTCCCAGAGATACTTGAAGCTTATCAATCCAAACCACAGCCTGGAGCTCTGTCTGAAGCCTCATGGATGATACCCACCTCAGTGCTGCAAACAGGTAGACCAGTGCCTTCAGATGCTTTGTTTCTCTTATCTTCCTTGCCTATACCCCTCTGTCTGGTGCAAGGTTTGTGGGAGAATATTCTTCATCTTTTGTCTTTCTAAAGATGTATGGGAAAACCTGGGAGCTCCTTGCTGCTGGCTGCAAACCCAAATCCCATTTAGCTGCCAGCTGTATTGTGGAAAGTGATGGTGTTACTGGCATGTGTGCCTGCGTCAGTCTGTTACAGCCCTGTCAGGCTGCAGACCTGTGCTGAGCTGGCTTCTCTCAGGGTGAAACGCTGCTGAAACATCACATTTTTGAGGGAGCCTTTTCTTGGAGCTCTGCAGGGTGCCCAGGAACACTGCAGGTGGAAAAAGGCATCGTGAACACAGCGGTGGGGTGTCCCTGGGTGGGTCCGGCTGCTGCCACACAAACATTCACTACGTTAGTGAGGAACAGGACTGTGAAAGGGCTTTCTTGGCTGCTGGAGGCTGGTGATGACCCAGTGATGGAGCCAGGGCCGTGGCAGAGGCCTGGAGCTGCTGGGCTGGGCCCGGCCTCCTGAGGCCGAATGGCGCCTGGCGGGTCGGGCACAGAACGGGGCAGGCCTGGATATTTCCCCACTTAGGCCGTGAGGGGAGTTCCCTCTAGGTCAGGCATGTCTCAGTAGTGCTAAATTTACTCTAAAATATTACCGAGATGGGGCGGCTTGTGAGTCAGGCCTCTAAAAGCACGCCTCGCTTACGTAAAGAAACGCAGCTTGTGAGGAGGCAGAGGGCCATCAGCCTCCCGTGGAGGCCGGGCGGCACTGGTGTGTCTGCCCTCCCGAAATAAACGGGGCTCTGCAGGCAGGGATGGCTCCTCGGGGTTGGTCTGTACCTGAGAGCAGGGCCAAGGTCTGCAGCCACCTCTCCCTGAGTTTCCAGGCATTTCAGGGAACGTAAATACTTTTCAACCTCTGTTCTGTCTCAGTTAAATAAATGGAACTGGGGGGGGGATGAATAAGTTCATCTGCTCTTGTCCAGGAATATTCAGCTGGGGCTATGCTCTTGTGAGAGAGGAAAGGAGCAATGTGAAAGATGCTGCCATGGGGATTCTGGTTTTTGGTCTTTTCCTTTCACTCAGGTCCATGTATTTGGCCTGTGAAAATCCCCACCTCCTGTGGCAGCTGTGTGTTTGCTAGCTGAACATCCCCGAGCACTGGGCTGCTGTGCAGCTCCCACCACGGCTCAGCTGCACCCAGGGGTGAGCTCCTCACCCTGCCCGAGGTGAGGATGCTCCTGGGCTCGGGGGCTGAGCCCTGGCCCCTCTGCAGGCACAGTGCTGATGGCAGTGCTGGGAGTGGAAGGGGGGAGCCTGTGTGTCCCCCTGCTGCTGGTTCAGCTCCTAGAGCTCCAACTTATACCCTCTGTACATGTTGCAATGTGGAAAACAAAATCGAGGTCTAAATAGAGCATCCTTTAAAGATTAAATGTCTTCCCAACATCCTCTTAATGGTTTGCTGCTGCCCTAGCCCAGCCTCTTTGAACCTGTCAGGGTGCAGGGGCTGAGTTGCCCTCTTTCCTTCTGCTGCCCAGATGAAATTGATGACGTGATCGGTTTGCATCGATCCTCGCTGGGAAGGAGTGTAACATACGGGTTTTAGGGGATTGGACCTGAGACCAAACAATTGGAAGAAAATGCTTTAGAACCAGCAGCCTATAATTAAACCTCTCCAAGGCGCAGCGAGATGCAGCGAGCTCAGCAGAAGGAGGCATTTTGCTGTGAAGACTTCCCGTCTTTGTTTCACGCTGTGTGCTATTAAAGCAAACAACCTAACAAGCTTCAGCAACGTTTGGCAGCTCTTGACCAAGAATAGCATCTAACCTTACAGCTAAGCTGGAAACAATGAGGACCATCAGTCTTCACATTTTAGCACATAAACTAGGTGGCTTGGCTCACGGAGAAATCCCCATGACTCTATTTTAGGTAATCTAGAGCCTGCAGGGTGGGAGATTTCATCTTCTGAGGCATCCAGCAGTAACCACCAGAAGGGGAAGGTCCCGATTTAGAGCAGTGCCCTGATCTGCTGAGGCAGTTCGTACTTAGCTGCTGCAAGCTGCCTTTTTCTGTTCTCAGTCATATGCGTTCTAACCACCGCTCTTTCTACCAAGTTTGTAGAATATGTCATGTCAGATTTTAAAAAAATATGAGCTTGGGACGTGATGGAAATGTCTGCCTTGTGCCTGTGGGGTCAGCTAGGCTCCTGGTGGAGAGCCTTGTGCAGATGAGCGAGCCGTTGCTGTGCGGCTCTGCCTGCCTCGGTGGCAATCTTAATTCGGTCTTAACATCTCCAGCTAATTACCTTTCTGTAAGGGAGGAGATTGGGATACAATCTGTCTGTTTTGGCCATATTTGAGCTCCAAGCCCCTCGTGTCTGTGCAGATGAGAGTGATTTAACAGAGCCAGACGTGTTTGTGCGCTGCTCAGACACCCAGCATGGTTGCACACTGCTCCTGCCTGGTTTTGGGGTGGCTGCAGCACCCTGAGCTCTGGCTCGGTCACCCCACAAGCAATGTGCCAAGCCCTTCACTGCACTTTCTACAACAGCATCCAGTGTTATGAGAGAGCAAATTCATTTTCCCTGTACTTAATTTGTAGCTCCCATGTGCAGCAAAGTCATGGAAACCAGATGAAGAATTGGTGACCAACTTTTTGTCCCTTTTTTGTCCCCCAAAACTCATGCAATTTCATTAGCCAAGACAAACTTAAAGAGGTGAATGGAGAGCCTATAGTGTTTAGTAGAAACCATATGCAACATGGAAATGGGATGTAAACCTCTTGATGTTCCTTGGTGTATCTATTATACATGAGCCATCAGAGCAGCGTATTAATAAAACAGGAGGCTAAAGCACTTGGCACTCCCAGCTCTTTAGTGAAACATCAGAGCAGAGGCTGTCAGCCTCAGTCTTTGAAGCCTGCAGCTTGCATCTGCCCAGCTGCTTCAGTGACACGGTCAGGATGCTCGGGGGATGCTCCCATTGAAGGGAGATCTCTCCACTCTCTGCGTGTTGTTTTTTTTTTTTATGCTAGCAAGATTCTCCTCCTCCAGGACAAAAATATCCTCCTTTCCTGCTCAGCCTTCTTGCATGCTGGAATTCTTAAGCAGTAAGTGACAAGGCCAAAGATGGGGTTAAAGCAACCTCAGACATCGGTGTGCTGAGATGCCAACTGGTTCTGTTCCTCGAGAGCTCTCCCCACTGGGGACACTGTCCAGTCTTGTGCATGGGGCCCTTGGTTTTGCTGAAGAATAAGTGAATGACACGGAATTTTATAACTGTCTGAGTTGCTTCTCGATCAAGGCAGACGAAAGGTGGCTCTTTGGACCTCCCTGACACCAGGCTCAAGCTTGCAGAGCTTCTGGGCGAGCAAGCTACAGGGCCCAGTAGGAGGTAGAGAGCGTGCTGTGGAAGAAGGGATGGGACACAAAGCAGGGGCTGAGCCTGGGTGCGGGGCTGAGCGGCCTCTTACTGGGCACCCCGAGCTGAGCATGGGCTCAGAGCCCTGGGCTGTGGTGGATCCAGGGCTGATTATGGTTCCTTTGCTTCCTGAGATGCACGTGAGGGTAACGGAGCTGTGTGCCCAGCAGTTTACAGATGTTGTGTTTGCACCTTTCTCTTGCTTTGAGTACCAGCAGGGGGGGTGTTCCTCCTCCCCAGCCAACACTACAGCTTGATAGGGAAGGAAAAGGTATTTATCATAATGCTGCCTACGAAAATGGCAGGCAGCCCAAAGCTTTCCTGGACCCCACCAGAGGCTGAGAGGTTTGGGTACAGCCCATCAGTCTGTTCACCATGCTGCAGCATGGGCACGATGATTCCCTAACCCTGGCTGTGGGAGGGGAAGAACTGAGACACCTCCACGGTGGCCGTGCTCACCAAGAAGCTCAGCACCGCTCCTCTCTGCAGCACCGGGCTGGGCTCTGTCCCTTCTGCTCTCTGACGTGCTGCTGCCTGCTGCCAGTTGCTTGTGTGTGTATCTGCAACCCACTGCACCCAAATACCCGCTGAGCTGCTCGCTCTTGGAGTGAGAAGCGATGATTCAATGGCTAGTTCAAATTTAATTATTTTTTTTTTCTTATATAGACAGAAGAAATAAGTTCAGCTGTGACCATGCATGTTACATTTTAATTTTTTTTTTTCTCATGCCAAGAAATACAAAGGAAGTATGTCAGGTATACCACATCGTCCTGCAGGGAAAGAAACACCTATCAGCAAACCCAAGTGCCCGGCCGAAATTCCTGCTGTGTTCGTGCTCTTTGTGGATCCAACTCTTCCAGCCGGACTTCCGAGGGGCTGAGGCTGTGCACGTCCGTGGTTACAGCAACAGGGGGAATGCCCCAGGTGCTGCCACGCACGGATCCTGCCCTGGCACCATTGTGCAGGGTCTGGGAGCGTGTGGCCCTGCTCAGGAGTGGTGAGGGGCTGCCCTGGGGTACCGCACACCTTCCCTTCCCGGTGCTCCGTATCCCACGTGGGTATTTCTAGGTTGGAGTTTTGCTACCTACTGGCGTTTGCAAATGCGAACCGCACCCTTTGGCTTGTGCCCAAGCAGGGGGATTTTCAGTCCAAATTTTCACCAAAACTAAAGGATGTACGCGGGAAGAAAATGAACTTTAAATCTGCAGTTACTCGAGGTGGGTCCTGCTCTGCGGCTCTGGGCTGTGCTCAGTAACAAGGTGTAAGGCTGGGGGATTCAAAGAGAAAGCCGTGGGACCAGCCCCTAGGGCATGGCCGGTGCAGCAAACTGAGAGCAGATTTTTTGCCGTTTTCCTCCCTTTGTGCTAAAATCCCTCTGGTCTCCTCTGCGGGCGTTCCCCAGCCAGACGCTGCGTTGCCAGAAGCCGGCTGAACCGTGCTGCTCCCCACATCCTCCCAGCTGCTGGTAGGACGATAAGCCCGTCTGCAAATCACTCCTGAATCACTCCCAGTGCGTCCTTCCAGCATCCCCTCACCCATTTGGGCCCTGCTGAACCTCCCCAGGGTGATGAGCCCTGGAGGCTGGGTGCTGGTGTGGTCTCACGGCTCCGTGCGCTGGCTCCTTCCCGATCCGCATGGTTCTGTCCCACCAGGATCTCACACTTGTCGATCCCAACTCCTACTCGGACTCGCTTATAGCTGCGTTTCCCACCTTCTCCATCTCCTCAGCGTGCTGTCCTCCTACCAGCCGCACTGCGCTGCCAGGTAAGGCTGGGTGGCCACCGCGCCGCGTGCAGCTTGCCTCTTCCTTCCCTGCTTTGCTGGGGGGTGAAGCTGGCCAAATCCTGAGGATTTCGTGTTTTAGTTGGAAGCAGAAAGCCTGATGCTGAGGTGGGAGCCTAGGGGAGGCTGCAGCAGGCTGGCAACGAGCTGGAGACGGGGAGGAGAAGCCTTTCCGTGACATACTGCTCATGATCGCCCATCCATGCCCTAAAAACAAACTTCAGGAGAGCAGCAGTGGTGCCTGGATGTGCCCAGCAAGGTGCTTGCACTGAATTGGCAAAAAATCACAAGGGGTGTGCTTTTGTTTCCTTCTTCAAAGCCCAAAGGAGGAAAGTTGGGTCCCGGTGGTCTCAGGGTGGGTTCTGCCAGGGCTTTGCTCCTCGTAACGCAATCCTGTGTGAGGTGTCACCAAGGGCTGGGGCTCATCGGCCTCTTCCTTGGCACGGCGGGGTGAGACCATGCATGCCACAGGGAAACTCCTGAGGAGTTTTTCTCTGGTGCAACTCGAGGGCAGCATTGCAAGGAAAGGAAATATTTGATGTCAGGAGTGCCCGGAGAGCTTTCAGCTGGATCTCAGTGCAGGACAAGGCCCAGAAAGGTGTATTCAAGAGCGCAAAGCAGTGCAATTGGCTCTAACCAGAAAGAAGATTAAAAAAGGAAAGGAGTTGGAGCGTCTTCAGTTTTGTTATCTGTAACACTGGGCTGTGAAGCGGTCGCCTCGGCAGCCCAGTGCTCCGGGCTGGGCAGAAGACACTAACCCCATGTGGGTGCGTGCAATAAATCCTCACCGTGGGCGTTGATTTTTAGTGAATTTTAGTGCCTCTGCTGCTCCTTCTTCATCCAGAGACTTCTCCTGCCCAGCTCCATGCGGCCCCTCACCATCCCGTGCCTGCAGCAGGGCTCCCAGCCCGGTCTGAAATGCAGCGTGCAGGTGTGTGTTTGCACAGATCCCTTTGGAAACATCAGATTCAAAGGAATTATGCATTCACTCCTATTTATATTGAGGAGGAGAAAGAAAAAATGTCTTTTCTGAGCTGCTCGTGCACGTGACTCAGAACAACTTTGCCATCTGTGCCTTTAGCAGAGCACAACGCCGAGCCGCCGCGTGCGGGGCTGCAGGGCCTCGTCGCTAGCCATAGTGAAGAAGTTTGGGCTCTTTAGAGGAAAGGCTTCATGTAATGATAAAAATGGCATTTAAATCCTTCATTTGGTGCTCTCAGGTGCTGTGGTTTTCCCTGGATGCTGGCGTGTCCTGTCCTCGGAGGATCTTTCCTGGCTTTCAAGTTTTTCGCTGGCTGTCAGTGGCTCAGGACAAAGCCGCCCCTTGGCCAGCCAGCAGCATTCGGGTTCAGGGCTTAAAAAGGAAACTTTTTGGGGATTTGATGGAACAGAGCAGCCCACCCATAAGATGAGGGGGTTTAGTCTCAAAGGGAAGGCTTCTGGTGAGAGTGGGGACAAGAGCAGAAACCGCGGAACACCCTGATGGACGCGGCACCAGGCTGAGCACAAAGCTTTCCCTAGCACCAAGGGCAGAAAACAGAATTGCTAAAGGGAAGGTAGTGAATTTGGTCCATTTTTAGAAGCTTGTAGTTTATAAGAAAGCACAGGCAAAGGGGCAGATGGGGAGGCAGCCCAAGAAAGTGCTGTAGTAACATGCTATTGCTCTGAGCCCCTGGAACCACTTTGAACTTAGAGGAAAACATCAGCAGCGTGTCCTGGGGATGTGGCTCCCCTCTCCCCTAGGTCCAAATAACATCCAGCCAGAGGAAACTCAGTAAGGAGGAGCAGTCAAAGAGGAGAATGTTCCCAGCTATGCCCCTGGGGCACTGCAGAATGAGGATTTACAGCCGGCAGCTCTCTGTGCTGCCTCCCTGCGTGCCCCTTGTGCTCACCAGCTTGGAAGGGACGCGGGTGCCAGGTTGCTGGGAGGTTTCTCCCGGCACACCTTGCTGTGCTGGGCAGCAATTCCCCACGTAGACAAAGCCCTTGGCCGTGTTGGGTTTGCTCTGAGGTTTTTCCAGATTAACTCAGGGAGCAGGGGAAAACATTTCGTGCCCCAGGACAGGCGGGGGGTGCAGCTCCCGGTCGTGTACTTGTGCCAGCAAAGATTTGCTAAAGGAGGTTCGGCTAACACGGAGCCAGTGGATATGGCCAGGAGCCATCTACAGAGCCTGGGTACAACGACAGGCGGTGACACCTTGCATAGTCTGGGTGGCAAATACAGTACCAGAGCCTGTGCCAGCCCGTGGCAGGGACGGGTGGGAGGTGGGGACGGCAGAGGGGGGCCGCGCATCGTGGAAGACTTGGCAGGGCATGGGGGGGGCCCAGGCAGATCAGGAGGAGCAAAAAAAAAAAAGTCAGTGTTCTTTACATGTCGTTAAATACAAAATGTTAAAAAATAATACTGTCTGTGGAGCCGGCCCCAGCCAGCTCCAGGGATGCTGGAGATGTTCAGAGACGCAGAAGGGCTGTGTGAGGGGTAAGGAGAGGAGCAGGCATCCTAAACCCCTCTGCACCTCTGAAAATCTCCTGGGAGGTCCTCAGCTGAAGCCCAGCGGGGTGAGGGGAGATGAGTATGGGCGGCGATGGGGTCTGGGTCACGCTGCAGCTTTTGGCTGATGGACAGGACAGGACAAAAAACGCTCGAGCGGGTAGCATGGGCTCTCCGTGCCTCGGTGCCGCTGCTGCAGATTAACCAGGCTCTTTCCTCCGCGCCACGAGCATTAACCTCGCTTCGGGTGCCCAGGGAGAGAAATGTGTGGTTGCACGGAGAAAGCGTTGTTTCCTTCCATTAAAATCCCCACCGTGGGGCCGGCTGAGGAGGAGCCTGGCGTTCTGCTGCGGCAGCATCCTGCTCCGCCGGCCCCGACATCTGCTGCGAGTGACAAAAGAGCTTGTAGGAACAGACGTGGAGAGCATTCCCAAAGGCATGCAAATGGTCATCGTCTCTTTTTGTTATTGTTTGTTTTGTTTTTTCATCAAAAATACAAAAGCAACCCCCACACCCTCCAGCTCCTGTGGCCCCAAGCGGGGCTCCTCCTGCAGCTCGGCTCTCCTCCTGCCCCCAGCAGCTCTCCGCTCCCGATGGCAGTTTGAGCTTTTTTTTTTTTTTTTTTTTTTTTGTCGTCGAGACAGAGAATGTAATGATTTAAAAACCAACAACCCCCCAACAACACAGTCGCTTGTGCCAAAATCCTTAGAGGGGATTCCTCAAAGTGTCCTGGCCCGTCCTTAGGTTTTCTTTAAGACAAGCTCCGTTCCCGAAACTCCCTCCTTGCCCTTCGCCAGGAGTTGTCTCCCCGCTCCGTCAGTTTTGCTGGAGGGGAATGAGGTAGTGGGCTTCCCCCTTCTCCTCTCCACTCGGCACCCGAAGCTCTTCCCCATCCCTCCTCACGATGTTTTCGTCCCAGCCCTCGTCCGGGCTCGTTCCCAGGGGGCGGCGGAGCAGAAGCGCGCGTTCCTCCGGGGCGGCCCCCCTACGCTGTGACAAGTTTTTGTTGCGAGGCTGAAAGTAAAAACCCCAAAAGGAGAGTTGTCTTCCTCCTCTTCGAGGTATTTGCATGCTAAAATGTCTTCTAGGAAACTGTAAAATAAAGAGAGGCTTAGGGCAGCTTCCAGCAGTCACAGAGATGTCCCCGATGCTCTTGGCTCGGGCTTTGGGTTCGAGCGGCCGAGAGCCGAGGTTCCCGTTAGCCCGAGCAGCGCTGCCAGCGGCCCCGCTGCTCCTGGCAGGTGGCTTTGGGTCAGGGGAAGGCTCCCCAAACACTGCGGGACTGCACCCCTGGGCAGGCTGGATCCCTTTGCTTTCACCCCGCTACACATTTCCAAACCCACCGCAGCCTTGCCAAGGCTTTGGGTTTTAGCCTAAACGCCCCTTGTCTGGGAGATCTCCCACAACCCCTTCTCCAAGGTATTTTGCACACACAGGTGCTGTTGGGGGTGGTCCCACGGGGGACCTCGGTGCCCTTACGCTGCGGTTGGGGTGGGAACGGGGGCATCCTACAGGCAGGGCTGCCCTATAAACTCCTGGGACAGCACCCGGGGCACCGTGTGGGGTTCCTGCTTGAGCTGGGCAGGGGAAAAGGGAAGGAGATGTTACCTCTGACGCTGAGTGAAACGTAGAGCACGATGATGATGGTCCCCAGGACGATGGAGACGATGCTGAGCAGGCGGGCCATGCGGCCGAGGCGCCGCGCTCCGTCCATGTCCCCCTGCTGCCCGCTGTTCCTCGACTGGGGGGAAGCACAGAGAGAGGCTGCTGAGAAGGGATCCGGGGCCATGCTCTGGCTGCAGACCCCAAAATGAGAGCGGCTGCGTCCGCAGGGGTCTGGGCTCCTGTATCCTACAGTTTGGTGCCCTGGGGCGGCCCCACGGGGATGCTTCTGTGGGCAGGAGCTGCATGGGATGGGGTCTGCCTGGTGTCAGAGGGACTAAGAGGTGTCCCCAGGGTGGGACAGGAGGCACTGCCCAGCCCCAGCCCTCTCTGGCTCATCAATGGGGAAAAAAAATAAAATTCTGTAACCCCCAAAAGGAATTCACTTATAGGGGATGCTGCTGGGGTGCTGCTGCATTGCTGCAGCTCGTGTGCAGGAGGCACCGGCATCGTAACGGGAGGTCCCCAAGGGACAAAGTGCTTTGGGAACAAGCTGTCGGTGTGGGGGCAAGGCTGGAGCCCCCCAGCAACAATGGAGCCCTGGCTCTGGGATGTGGCTGCTAAAACTGGGGGAGCTCAAGGTGGAAAATAATGTTAGCTCGAGGTAAAGATGGAAGGGTATTAAACGATCCCCCTCTCCTTTCTGAAAATGCATCTCTAGGATGTAGTGCCCCACAAAGGGTGCCCAGCACAGCTCCAGTGCCATGTCCTGACCTGGGTTAGGGTTGGTGTTAGGGTTAGGGTTAGGGTTGGGATTATGGTTAGGTTTGGGATTAGGGTTGGGGTTAGGGTTAGGGTTGGGTTTAGGGTTAGGGTTGGGGTTAACTCAGGTGGCTGCAGCCCCGCGGGTGTCTGGTTGTGCTAACACATCCCAGGCAGAGCAATTTCCCCAGCACTGGCGTTGGGTTCGCTCTAGACCTCATTTCTTTCGGTCTCTACAGCACCTTTGGCAATGTCAAAAACCAGTGGTAGGCAGCCAAGGGCCTTGTGTTAGAGAACAGGAGGTGCCAAAATGAAGCTTCAAGGTTTGGTGGAGAGAAGGGGGTGAGTAGGGAAGCACGGGGATTGACAGGGTCCCTGCACTGCTCCCTGACAGCTCCTCGCATTTGGGATTTTTATAGGCTCAGATATTTGCAACCGAGTATAATATTTTTGCAAGGTGTGGGTTAGATCACGGTGGAACACATTTGCAATTTTAGCTGTCTTCCAAGCAAAATATATGGGCTAACGAATTCAACATATTTATCACCGTAGCTTCTGGAAGTGTTTGCTGATCATTTATCCCGAACAATTACGAAAAATACATCAGCACTGGCACGGTGCGTTTAGCCAGCAGTTGTTACTGTCCATATATTATTCATCGGCGTGGAACAGTTTGATTATAGCTGCCTGGGATCGGTGATGCTAACATTTTCTTTCTACGTGAAAACACGAACATTATCTTTATTAATCAAGACTGGAAGAGGCAGAAGAGCTCTGAAAGGCCTGGGGGCTGGGGCAGCGTGCCACGGGTGTGCCAAGCTGTTTTTTTTGGGCACGGAGTCGTGAGTGTAGGTGGCTCAGAAGAGCCACTGATGGTCCCTGCTTTCATCTCGTCCCCTGCTCACGTTACTGCTCAGAGGGTGTTCTCCTGATAGGTAGCCTCAGCGGGCTCATTGCAGATGAAGGCAGTTACTTTTCGGTAAATTCTGGGACTTTTTCTAGTCCCGTGACAAAGGCAACCAACCCGTCACAGCTTCTTCCTTCAGCCCTTCACAATTTAGGAACTGGCTTGGGATGCGTTCCGCTGACCTATTCTGGATAGCTATCCCGGTATCCAGAATAAATCCTTCAGATTTATCACCAGTTACTCAGAATAAATCACTAATCCTCGTCACTTACATTGTGTTGAAACCCATGGTGGCGAGGTCCCAGCCACCATCGGACGCAGGGGGACGGGGGCACCATCTGAAGGAGTAACCTGGGCCTTGGCTTCTCCCACCTCGCTCCGTACCCACCACATTTATACCCCCGGGAGCTTCCAGGCCCTCGCCTTGTCAATAAAACACACCCAAAGGGGAGGTGGAGGAGCCTCCAGGTTGCTCTTTTCCATGAGACCAGTGTAAGCAGGCAGAGGCTGGGGGCAGGAGCAGATTTTTTTTTCCTACCCCCGGCCATCGTATCCAAGAGCAGGGCCTGAAAAATGATTTATGAGACACCAAATCCGACAGCACTCAGTTGCTTCCCTCTCCGGTTGCTGCTTAGTGCCCAGAAAAGCTTTTGTGTGCAAAGGCTGCAGGAGCACCGGGGAGATGTTTCCAGCAGGGAGATGGGGAACCCATGGGGGTCCCCGGCTGCTGGATACGGGGGGGGCCATGAGCTGTGGAGGGTCCCAGGGGGCTGGAAGCAGCCGATCCTCCCTCAGCCCTGCACCAGCACCGGGCTGTGGGGCTCGAGGGCCTTGGCTCTCATCTCCCTGTTTGCTCGTCCCCTCCAGGGGCTCATGCGGCCCACGAGGCACAGCCCTGCCCCGCTGCGGGCTCCAGCCTCGAGTGGAGGAGGATTTCTTTTGCCTGAAGGCTAACGGGGCTGGAAAATCCCCGTGAGAGCTCCCGCTGGCCCGTTGTTCTCCCTCTCGCCCAGCCGGACGAGGCCACCCGGCTTCCCCGCGCGCTGCCTGGGCGGCCGCCACCGCACAGCTGCACCGTGCAGATGGCAGCTGGTAAAAACGGTGATTCTGCCTCAAAATGGAAACTGGTCTCTCCAGAGGGCTTTCTGCAGCACCTGCCACCAACTCCTCGAGTTGTTGCTGGTTTTTGGGAAGCGCTGTGTGTCCCCTCACCGTGTGTTTTGGTGTGGTGAGCAGGCGAGCGCTCGCCCTGGGCTGATTTTCTAAGGGAAGCTTTGCCTCGGTGGCAAGTGAAGGGTGTAAAAGGTGCCAGGGGGGTGTAAAGCAGTGGGTAAGGGGGTGGCCGTGCCTGCGAGGCTCTGCTGGGATGGGTGGGAGGCTGCCTGCTTTCATTCTCCCCAGCTGCGATGTCAGTGTGCGAGCTGAGCTGTGGGGGATATTTAATGGGGATATTTTTTTTCTTCAGAACAAGCGCGGGAGCTGCAGGCACAGCCCGGCCCTTTGGAGGGGCTGGGAGCAGCGGCGAGCCCCCAGCCCGGGTCTCCCCAGTGCTGCAGGGCTGGGCTGCGAGGTGCAGGGGGCAGAGCAGCTCTGTCCCGGCTGGGAACCGGGCTGTGGGCTGCCCAGTGCCACTGGGAGAGGAGCAGCGGGGCCACAGGGGCTTGGTGTGCCCCGCTCTGCTTGTGACCTCATCCCGCATCCCACAGCATCCTATTTCCTGCATCCCACATCATCCTGCATCCCACAGCATCCCTTATCCTACATCCTACCTCATCTCACATTATCCTGCGTCCCACAGCACCCCGTGTCCCACAGCATCCCGTATCCTGCATCCCACATCATCCCACATCATCCCACATCATCCCACCTCATCCCACCTCCTCCTCATCCCCTATCCTCCATCCCGCCTCACTCCGCATCCACCTCACCCATATCCTCCATCCCACCTCATCCTACACCCCACCTCACCCCGTACCCTGCATCCCACCCTCAACCCGGGCTGCCCCCACCCCATCCCACCTCTCGCTATCTCGGAGAGCCCCAAACACTGTGCAGAGCACCCCCAAACCCCAACCTCCTCCTGCCCAGCACCCCCCCCAGCACCCCCATCCCTCCCCATCCCCACGCCCCCACGGGGGGGGGCTCACCATGATGGAGAAGACGAGGGCCACCACGTTGATGGGCCAAACGGGGCAGAAGCAGGAGAAGATGGCGAGCACCAGGTAGTCCCGGGGGCGGCCCTGCTCGGGCGGTGCCGTGCTGGTGCCGGTGGAGGAGGCTCTGCCCAGGCTGAGCCGCGACGGCGACAACGGGGCCGCGTCCAGGTGCCCGACGGACACCGATTTGTAGCCCAGCCCGTGCCCGTTGCGCTCCGCCTCGCCGGCCAGAGCCGCCGTGAAGGATTTGGAGCCTCGCAACCCTTCGGTGGCAGCCAGCAGCTTCTCGGTCTCCTGGAGCCGGGAGGGCAGAGCCGTGCCCGAGCCCGAACCCGACGCCGACCCCGAGCCCGACCCCGAGCCCGTGCCCGGGGGCGCGGCGGTGCCGCTCGCCATGGCCCGGCCCCGACGGAGCGGGCTCCGAGCGCTCCCCGCAGCCGCCGCTCTGCGCTCGGGGCTCGCCGCCCCCCCGGGGAGGCCGTGCCGGGGGTGGGGCCAGCACGGCTCGGCCCCCGGGGCAGGAGCGGGGGATGCGCAACGCCCCCCGAAAGCACCGGGGAGGAGGGAGGGGAGGCTCGTCGGATAGGGGGGAGGGGGGTGATGGGGGGGGCGGAGGGGGTTGGGGGGGGTGGGGAGGGGTTAGGGGGGGTGGGAGGGGTGGGAGGGGTTGGGGAGGGGTGGGGGGTTGGGGAGGGGTGGGGGGTTTGGGGGGATTTGGGGAGGGGAGGGTGGGATGGGATGGGATGGGATGGGATGGGATGGGATGGGATGGGATGAGGGGGAGGGATGGGGGGGAATCGGGAGCGATAGGATGAATGGGATGGGATGGGATGGGATGGGATGGGATGGGATATGGGGAGAGATGGGATGTGATGGGGTTAGAGGTTGGACTGGGTGATCCTGGAGGTCTCTTCCAACCTAGATGATGATGCTGGGATGCTGGGATGGGGCGGGACTGGGGGGATTTAGGGGGGAATCCCCCGTGTCCTCCCTCCCCTCTGCCGTGATTCCAGCCCGCTCAGCCTCGCCCCGGGGTTTCGGGACGTGGAGCTGGGGACGGGCAGAGGGGGTGCCCGGCGGTGCCCCCCCTGCAGCCCCAGCGCTCCCGGCACAGAGACAAAGGCAGGAGCCGGGACCCGCAGCGCAGGGGGGGGAGTCCTGGAAAGCGGAGCGCAGCACCCGGGGGTCCGGAGTGTGCTGCGGGGGGGGCCGGGAGGAGGACTGCAAGCACCCGGCTGGGCTCCAGCGGCTCTCTTCGGTTCTGAATTTTTCCTCTCCGGCTCGCCAGGGATTCGTTTCCCAGGCGGTGAGTGCCATCTGCGGGCGCACCCAGCGCCCTCTGCCTGCTCCTGCCGGGCAGGAGGGGGACCCCAGCGCCTCTCCCACCCCACAGCCTGCAGAGGGGCCTGCCCTAAGCGAGAACCCGAGAGCAATGCAGGGATGCTGCCTCGGGGCTCTCGAGGCCTTTTTTCCCCTGCTCCTGCCTCTCTGGGCATCTATTTCCACCTGGGCTGCTTTAATATCGAAGTGAGGGAGGGAAACTGGAAACAGATTTGGGTGGAGAGGGGTTCGTGTAGGGTTATGCCTGGGTTTTGCTTCCTTGCCCCTAGGTGTTCCTGGGCTCATGCATCCAGCGTGACGAATGCTGACACGGGCAGAGCAGGGGGAGCTGGTGCAGGGGGAGCCTCACCCCATGGGGGAACCTCACCCCATAGCGGAGCCGCCCAGCAGCAGGGAGCTGGTGGGGGAAGCAGGATTCTGACAGCAGGCCCCTCCTGGGAAGGGGAACCTCCTGGAGATGAAAGCCAAGATGTCTCACACCGTCAGCACTTCGAGAGGCTCCTTCGCTGAGCGGAGAGCTCTCTCTCCTGGCTGCTGGGAGCCTTCCTCTGCTGGGCTCATTTCCCAGCTCCCCCACCCCACGCTGGGACTGAGGGAGGAGGAGGAGGAGGAGGAGGAAGCCAGGCACTCGGGGAGCACAGGGCTGAGCCCCCCGTCCTCCTGGCTGGGCAGATCAGGAGCGCAGTCCCAGACCATCCCTGGGGAGCTGCTTTGCAGTTCTCAGGAGGCACCGTGGGGTTTATGAGCTCCTCGGCCGCTCCTGCAGATCTGCCCGGGCACCAATATGTGCCCTGATGGGCTTAGCATTAAAAGTACAACCAAATAAACCTCTCCCAGCTCCTGCTCCCCCCATCCATCAGCTGCAGCCAGAGCTGACATCCAGCCAGCAGCCTCAGCGCGCCCCGCACGGCCCATCTGTCCACCTCGCGCATTAACAGGCAGCGCCCCGATGCTGGGCTTTTAACTCGTGTTTTCTCACAAAGCAAGCAAGAGAGAATAAATAACCGTGACAACTTGCAGCAGGGAAACCTCACAACAAAGAAACACAGAGCTTACTCGAGCAGAAAACAGTTTTCCACGTCCCCCAGCTCCGAGCTCTCCTGCAGAGCAGCGAGCGCAGCCGGGCACCGTGCCGAGCCCCGTGTCCCACCTCTCTCTCTCCTGTCCAGGTCCCTTCCCACTGCCCCGTTTGTCACTCGGCTGCGTTACCTTCCCGGCACCGTCTCGCCTTCCCAGCCCGGTGGGTCAGTGGATGGGGAGGCGCTGGTAGCCTGAGCTCTGGAGCCCTCCCAGCTGCCAGGAGAGCGGTGCCACCGGGGGGGCTCGCTGGCTGCCCGCGTGTTTCTGCTGGCAGCTGCTGCGGAGCCCAAGCTGGTGGCTCCCGATGGGATAAAACGCAGGGCTGGCTGCCAGGCGATCTTCCTTCGGGCTCTCGTGGTGCTGGAGCTGGTTCTCGGGGGAATATCCCCCATAGCCTGCAGCACCGAGGAGCCGGGGGCGGCCGTCCCTCGCGCCCTGCCCGCGGCACTCGGAGTGGGCGCAGGGCCAGCAGCGTGTGGCACCGTGCAGGGACAGGGACAGAGCCGTGATCCGGCTGATGGCTCGCCGGAGGGTGGCGATTTTGGAGAGCCTCTTGCCGCTCAGGTCGTGCTTGAGGGCCAGCCGCAGGGCGTTGAAGGCTTGGTTGTAGTCCAGGATCCTCTTGCGCTCTCGGACGTTGGCAGCCATCCTCCTGGCCTTGGAGCGCACTGGCCTGCTCCTCTTCCTCACCTTCATCTCTTCAGCCTCCCCCGGGTGGGTGGCTGCTTCCCTCCCCTTGGGGTCCCACAGGTCCTGCCCGTGGCACAGCTGGGGTGCAGCCCCCCTTTCCAGCTCCCCTTCCAAGCCATCGGGGGGTCCCTGACGTGCCGCACTGCTCCCCACGGCTGCTTGGGACATGGCTGTGGCTTGTGGGGCCGGGGCGAGGTGCTGCTGCGGTCCTGCCTCCCGTGAGGCTGGCAGACACTCCTCCAGGGTCACACAGCCTCCCCTAAAAACCCCAGCGTTTTTAAAACATCACGTGGCTCCGTCCCAGCCCCTCTGCACCTGCCCCCAGGTGTGCTGCCCTGGGGACACCGGCGGGCCCCACGGGGACACGGCGGAGCCAGGATGGAGTGGGGACACCAGTACCGGTACCAGGGTTTGCAGTGGGAGTGGGGGACAACCAGCTAAAGGCTGCATTTTGCTACTCCCAGGCTCTAGAGGGAAAGCCAGGCTCTCAAGCACACCTGGCAGGGGTTGCTGTAGTTGCTGCGGAGGGTTTGGGCTCTGCAGGAGCTCCCCCCATTGCTCTGCTCTCTCTCTGCAGGGCAGCTCAGCCTGGGCTGGGTCAATCCTAAACTCACTCGGTGCCTTGGAGCAGAGCCCGTGGGTATCACTGCCCTGGCACGGGGCTCAGGCACTGCTCAGCCACGTTCACTGCTGCTGGGGCTTCTCCACTGGCCTCTATTTCCCAGGGAGGGAAACTGAGGCACGGAGTAAGGAGGCTGCTGAGGACGGCAGCCAGGCTTGTGCCAGGAGCAGGCAAATGTCTCCTGCGCAGGATGGTGCTGGGGAGCTCCCTGCCTCACCTCCCACCCTCTCCCCATCCCTAAAAAACTCCTTCCTCGGAGGAGCTGAGCCCCTCAGCCCCAGGGACGGGACCGGAGCATGGAAGGAGCCTGGAGCCAGCACGTCGGAGCCGCTCACACCGCGGTGTCCTGGTGAGCTGGGGGCACAAGCAGACTGAGCAGACCGGGGGCAGCAGCAGCTCCCCCCCCCCCAAAACCCATCAGTGGGGGCCCAGCTGGGGAGTGAAGGAATGCGGGGCCTTGGCACGCCTCTGCCCCGCGGAGCAGGAAGCAGGAATGTCGTGGGGGGACCGGGCAGGTGATAAAAGAGCTAAAATGCTACCTGCCTCCTGCCTTCCTGTCCCCCCAGCGGGGGCCTGGGGGCAGAGAAGGTGCTGCTGGGTCTGCCCGGTGTTTACTGGGGCTGAAAGCATCTTCTTGCTCCCAGTGTGTCCCAGTCTGGCCATCAGGAGAGCCACGGTCCCATCCTCAGAGCGTGCGTGGTGGGGACACGGGGCACCTTTGGCTCTGGGGTGGGCACGCTGCCTGCCTGGCCCCCCCCTTTGGGTTTATCCCCCCCATCCACAGAGCCTTCCAGGCAGTTTCACATCCCCCTGCCCCTCGCCCACGGTTTCATTAGAGAGCAGCTGCTAAACGCCCCCCTGAGCACGGGGTAACACCAGTTTGAAAAATGGCTCTGGAATCGTGACAAATTGCTGGGGTTACTGGTGCAAAAATGGGAGAACTCCCCCCCCCCTTACCCACCCCCTCCTATCTGATCCTCCCGGACCGGGTTTGATCAATAGCCACAATTAGCGGGGGCTATTTGTCTATTGCCCTTCTCCTCTCTTGGCCCTTTGAAGTGGGAGCTGATTTAGGTGCCTCTGCTCCATGAACCCCATAAATCAGGAGCCGGGGCCTGGGGGAGCGGGGAGGACAACGCAGCGGGACTTCAAAGGGAGGTGAAGCTTGCAAATATTTCCGAACACCCACCTGTGCTCACCCTGGCCCTCTTTTTTTTTCGTTTTCCCACTGGCCCTGGCAGCCCAGGGGTGCTCTGTGCTGGTGCGTGTGCTCCCCCAGCCCCTGGCTCAGCAGCGAGCCCAGCTCAGGAGCGAGAGGCTTTTTGGGGTGGTTTAATGCTGGATGCTTAGAGAAATGCCAAAGGGAGGTGCAGCTGAGCAGGTCGGCTCCCTGCCAGGGGGATATTTTGCTGGTGCTGGATGCTGACCCATGCAGCATGGAGCAGACACGGGGCCGTGCCCACCTGCAGCCCCCGCAGTGCCCCCAGCCCTGGGAGCCTCTGGGGACCTCCACTGGCCCCGGCCCTGTGGGAACCCAGCCCCAACCCTCGGAAGAAGGCAAGGCCACCCCATAAATCACGGCTCTTTGGATGCCACCTGCTGCCTGTAATTAGTGCATCCCGCCGGGCCGTCCCCACCTTGTCCTGGCCGTTTCCTACCTACGTGCCCATTACCGGGTGGGCAGGCGGGGAGGGACCCCCGCCCGGGGCTGCTCCCTCAGCCGCCCCCCCCCTGATTTATCACCCTGCTCTGGGGAGATTTATGGGCCGAGACAGGCAGCCTGCAATCCGTTGTAAGGCTCTGCTGGGCCCGTCTGCCTGACAGCTGATGAGAGGGCTGTAATTATCCATGGCCACACATAAATCAGGCCGCTCATGGCACGCCCCCCTCCTGCCAGCTTCCACCAAGGGGCTCAGCCCCCGGGGACACGCCACCTCCCCAGGATGGGACACACGGGACAGGGCACTGCTGGCACCGGGCACCTTCCCATCCTCACCTGGGCACCAGCATCACCTCTCTGGCTGGTCCCACAGCCCAGAGGTGTGATTTGGGGGGGGGCTCCAAGAGAAACAGTGCTGGAGGGAGCCCATAGAGGCCGGTTGGGTGGCACAGCAGGGATGGAGGTGGTGGCTGTTGCAACACGGTTGGGGCCCGTGCGTAAATAGAGGGTGCTTTGTTCCTGCTGTGCCATGGCCAGGTGGCCACAAGGGACACGGGCTCGTGAGTCACCCACCTGTGAGTCACCCTCTCCGTGTCCCTCACGTGGCACGGGGGAAATGCCAACCCAGCCCGGGGCGTGGGGAACAAAACCTGTCCCGTGGGGGTGCTGGGGGCACTGGGGGTTGTATGCAGAGGGAATGTGCAGCGTGGCACGGAGCCTTTCTTGCCGGGTGTCACCTTCAGAGCATCTTCAGGACAAGTGTCACCATCAGAGCATCACCAGGCCACGTGCCACTGTCCGGTCATCACCGTCCCGATGGCGATGAGGACCAGGAGATGGGCACACGCTGCCTGGGGCAGGACACCCCCGTGCCACCGGTGTTCCCCATCCTCCAGGCTCGTTTCTTGCAGGCTCGGTACCAGCCTTCTGCAGCACCTGGGGTCGCTGCCAGCACCGGGCACTTCTTGCCCTCCTCAGCATCCTCCCGGCACTCCGGGGAGCCCCGGGGGAGCCCCCGCCGCAGCCCCGCAGCCTGGAAGCGGCTTCCTCCGGGGGGCACCGGGGAGGCACCGGGAACGGTCCCGGCTCTCCGGCTGCCGGTAGCCGCACCGGGCCGTGCCGGGCCGTGCCGGGGGCGGTGGCAGAGCTGCTCCCCGCCCCGTCGGGGCCGTGCTGAGGCCGGGGGCGGGCCGGAGGGGCCGGCCGGGAGCCGACGTCAGGCCCCGCGGCGGCGGCGGGGGGCGGAAGGCGGAGGAGGAGGAGGAGGAGGAGGAGGAGGAGGAGGAGGTGAAGAAGGCTGACGGCGGCGGAGCCGGGAAACCCGGGGCCGGCCGGGGATGGCGGTGGGCAACGAGGAGGCGGCGGCTGCTGCTCGGGCAGACTTCGCCCGGCACTGGCAGGAGGAGTTCCCGGGGGAACCGGCGCCGCGCATGGAGCTGGGCTCGGTGCGGGCGATGGAGCGGGAGCTGGAGCGGTGCCGCCGGCACCTGCGCCGCCTGCAGCGGGCGCTGGCCGAGGAGCGCTTCAAGGTGCTGTACCTGGAGGCGGCGCTCGCCCGAGCCCCCCCGCGACCCCCCGGCTCCGCCGCCGCCGCCCCCGCCCCGCGCCGCCGCCCCCCGGCCGCCGCCCCCCGCGGCAGCTCCCCGGAGGGAGGCAGCGACGGCAGCTCCGGGGCGGAGGACGCGTCCTCGGCAGGTGGGTGCCGTGGCACGGCTGCGGGTACCGGCACCGGCAGCGCCCCGGGGGGCTGGGGGCGAGCCGAGGAATTGGGGTGGAGAGGCCCCGGTGTGCCGTCGGGGTGCCCCGTGGTGTAGGAGCGGCCATGCCAAACGGGGTGTCCTCGGCCCTCCGGGGACATGTGCGAGGGGTGCTGTGATGGAGCGCGCCCCCAGACCCCCTCCTGAGCCCCCTGCGTGTGGCTGGCACGCTCCGTGTGGTGGCACGGCCAAAGGTCCGGTGGTCTCCCCACGACAGCCCCATCACACAGCCCAAGGGCACCCCACGCTGTCACACACCCCATCGTGCCATCAGTTAATGTCACCCCAAGCCCCCGTGCTGTCCCTGTCCCACTTCCAGGTGTGCCCCGTGCCAAGACTCCGTCCTTGGGCACGTGAGGAGGGAGGGTGCAGCCGGCCTTTGGGGACGTGCCACCAGCTCGGGAGCTGCCTCTGGGGCTGGGACACCGCACAAAAGTCACTTCCTCCAGGTGTGACCTGGTTCACAGGGACGCCTCTGCTGGGTGACACCGTGCAATCACCCTGGGGAAGCCCTGGAGCTGCTAAAACAGGAGCATGCCAGGGCACCGAGGTGGCCGGGCACGCTGAGGACAATGTCCTTTGGCGAGCTGCTGGCTGCTTCGTGGCACTGCCGGCACAGGCGTTGCTGTTGCCTGTCACGCTGTCCTACTTCCAGCGGCCTGGAAGTTGTTGTTGCATCATCCCGTGTGCTTTAATCCCGGCTCAAACACCGTCCTGACAGCTAGGGGATGGCACTTCTCGCAGAGCTAATTCTGCAGCTGCCTTGAATTAGTTTGGTTCTTGCTCAATTGTTCGGGGTCGGTTTGCAGGAAAGCTGCATAGCGGTGGTTTAAGCGCAAGCAAACACTCCAGCGTCAAACTGTGCTTAGTATTTAGTTTAATTTATATTTATCGCATTAGTCTACAGGGCTGGAGAGCAGCTCAGCTCCCGTTTCGCCTTCCCCAGCTGTCTGTAGGTGACACATCCAAAGGACGGCGTCGTGTCTCCGTGCCGCCCTGGGCTCGCTCCCGCCTGCGTTTCTGCCTCTGCCCGGCTCCGGTCACCGACCTGTGGGGACATCTTGGGTGGGAGCTGGGTCCCAGCCCCACGGTGGGGCCAGGCACGTTGCCTCCACACAGCTCCCATCCAGCCCCAGCAGCAGTGATGCTCTGTCATTTTCGGAGTGCTGCTTGGTGGTGGCTGAGGGGTAGGAGCAGTCGGAGCGGCCAAGTCCCCGTGCGGCGGTGCCTTTGGGTTCATGCTCACGTCCTGTGCTGTGTTTGTGTCTCGGGCGTGCTCCTGAACAGTTCCCCACGCCGAGGATTGTGCAATGCTGCTCTTGGGCCACTGGAAGATGTGTTGGTAAAGGGGCCTCCCTGGAGCATGGGGTAAGAAACCGCTCTCCAGGGCACCGTGACCCGGAGGGGTCTTCCAGCCCCCAGGGCGCTGGGTTAAAACCTTTGCTGCCAGCAGGGGGGCTTTGTGGCAGCACCTTGAAAACCAAGGCTGCGTCGGCTGTGGTTAAGTTTGGCTTCTTCTCCTCCTCATCCCCCAAAAGGGGACCCCGGCCGTGGTCCCACCGTGTGCACTTGTCTGACTGCCACCATCCCCAGGGGAGGCTCTGCTGAGCGCACAGGACCAGCGGGCTGCCCGAGCCGGGGGCTGCGTGGCCACCAGGTGACGGTGGCAGGGATGGGGACGGGCTCTTCCTGGGCTTGTCCTGAGCGTTTCCTTGGCATTGGCACATCCAGCGTGTCCTGCTGGCGCTGACATTTAAAAGCAGAATTTGAGCATGCAATAAAATGCATGTGGTCGTTGACTGCATCCCCCTTTCTGGTTACGTGTGGCTCATTTAGTGCTCCTGTTTTTTTCTCACTTCTCTGTATTTTTCAGCTATCGTTACAAATTCCTGATTGTGGTTTGTAACTCAGCGAGCGCTGGGCTGCCTGGGGGTCCTCCCCTCAATGTTTTCATGAAGTTTTGGGCTCCTCGGTGCTCTCCTTCGGTGCTGTAGCTCCATGTGGTCGGTCGGTGGGCATCCTGCCAGCTGGGCTCCCTGTAACAACGCGGCGCTACCCCGACAGCAGGGGTAGGAGCGCTGGGTATTGTCTTTATGGGAATTACCAGGGAAACACAGTGTTTTCCTTTAAGTAGCTTGTGATTAATCTGATTTAAGGGGAGGATATCAGCGAGATGCCTCTGTTTGCAGCTATTGCGTGAGAGGAGTGCCTGTGACAGCAAGATACGTGATCCTGGCGTCTGAGATAACGCCTCTCCAGCTCTCTCAGGACCAACAAAATCTGAGTGTCAGTGAGCAGATGGCCAGCACGGAGCACAGAGAGGGCTGAACTTCCCTTCGTCTCTGCCGTCACCTGTCCCTGTGGCTGGGCACGCAGCTGACCTCACAGCCAAGGATGTGTTGGGGGCATGGGGAGGCTGCCAAGGTGGGGGAGCTTCTGTTTTTGGGCACTGCCTGTGGAGGTGCAGGTCTGGGCCGAAATGCTGGTGGTGT